AAAGAAAGAAAGAAAGAAAGAAAGAAAGAAAGAAAGAAAGAAAGAAAGAAAGAAAGAAAGAAAGAAAGAAAGAAAGAAAGAAAGAAAGAAAGAAAGAAAGAAAGAAAGAAAGAAAGAAAGAAAGAAAGAAAGAAAGAAAGAAAGAAAGAAAGAAAGAAAGAAAGAAAGAAAGAAAGAAAGAAAGAAAGAAAGAAAGAAAGAAAGAAAGAAAGAAAGAAAGAAAGAAAGAAAGAAAGAAAGAAAGAAAGAAAGAAAGAAAGAAAGAAAGAAAGAAAGAAAGAAAGAAAGAAAGAAAGAAAGAAAGAACTAGCTGGGGCTTGTTACAAACAGCAGTAGCTCTTGACGCGACGCGCATCGCGAGGAAGTACCTCACAGTGGAACCCTAACCGCTGGCGGTTTGTATCGTAGAATCCACCACAAACGGGTATCTATTAATTGAATGTTTTTATTCATTTATTTTTAAATTAAGGATGTGCTTATTTCTTTTTTGCAAATATTTTTGAACGCTTCCCTATTAAAACATTATGTTTTTGCCTGGCAACATTCATCAATGATAAAAAAAAGAATTGCCTCGCTAATATACAATTAAACTCATATCATGATCACCTGGGCGCAATGATAGAAATCGTTGAAGGATAAATATTGCAGCTTCCGTTTCGCCGTCTCGAACCTCATGCAGGCTATGAACACCACCGCCCCGTACTTCCTGTTAACAACAACGATAAGTGTTTGAACGAACGCCTTATGCTTCCCGAGTTACAGAAGTCAAACTTCTGAAGATGCAGAAGTCAAACTTCTGTTAAGACGGAAGTTAAACTTCTGATAGGTAAAATCAGTAATGACTCACTTCGCGAGCGGGTCGGATAGCAAGAATGTGCTTCTTATATTGGCGAGGGTGGGACAAAGGGGAGAAGGAGAGGGTGGGGGACAAGAGGGGGAGAGAGAGGAGAAAGAGAGAGGGATGGAGGAGAAAGAGAGGGTGTGAAGGAGAGAGAGAGATAGAAGGGGAGAAAAGGAGAGAAGGAGAGAGAACCTGCTGGGGCTTGTTACAAACAGCAGTAGGTCTTGAAGCGACGCGCATCGCGAGGAAATACCTCACAGTGGAACCCTAACCGCTGGCGGTTTGTAACGTAGAATCCACCACAAACGGGTATCTATTAATTGAATGTTTTTATTCATTTATTTTTAAATTAAGGATGTGCTTATTTCTTTTTTGCAAATATTTTTGAACGCTTCCCTATTAAAACATTATGTTTTTGCCTGGCAACATTCATCAATGATAAAAAAAAGAATTGCCTCGCTAATATACAATTAAACTCATATCATGATCACCTGGGCGCAATGATAGAAATCGTTGAAGGATAAATATTGCAGCTTCCGTTTCGCCGTCTCGAACCTCATGCAGGCTATGAACACCACCGCCCCGTACTTCCTGTTAACAACAACGATAAGTGTTGGAACGAACGCCTTATGCTTCCCGAGTTACAGAAGTCAAACTTCTGAAGATGCAGAAGTCAATCTTCTGTTAATACGGAAGTTAAACTTCTGATAGGTAAAATCAGTAATGACTCACTTCGCGAGCGGGTCGGACAGCAAGAATGTGCTTCTTATATTGGCGACCACGTTTCCGGGCATCTCTTCCACTGCCTTGAACACTCTACGCACGTTATCGAACTGACGACGACAGCATCGCAGAGGCGCGCCCGAGCGTTCCGCCACCTGGGACATTGGAAAAACGCGATTTAATAAGGGATTTGACCATAAATGCTTTTTCCTTCTTGCTTTAAATAGACCAGCCTTTCTCGGACCCGGAAAAAAAATGGGGGCGTTGTGTAGAGGCTTGGGAGGCGATTTGTAATTTCATCTAGAAGGACTCTTAGACACCGACTGAGCTCTCACTATAGTGGTTCTAAAGTAGGTCCATTCCAGCTAAAATAGAATTTATTCTCAATGTGGGCAGTAGACAAAATATAATAGAAACAGATCATCAAATTCAAGGTCCATCTATTTTTAAGTGATTACCGGAGCCCACAGGAACCCCAAGGTATAATATATTGTCCAACAGCTGACCTACCATTAACACTGAATGACTTGCCGGCAGAATTAAATAATACATACCCATGTGTTATTCCAATTCAATCTAGCACCAATAATCATGTCGATATTTTTTTACTGGATGTTAGTATTGTGTCAAATCTGAATCCTTAAAATGCTCTTAAAACTCACCTCATCTAAATCTTTTCTGTGTCTGGAGGATAACTTCCTTCCAAGCAACTCTCTTATGACTGCATCATCCAGGTCATAATATCTGTATAATGTTATAATATGAGCCACCTGCATAATATGGACCAATCATCACCTATATATTATAGTGTTTAGTGGTTATTGCACCTCGTAGTTATTACAATATGAATATTATTACCGATCAAGTGATAAGATGGAAGTCTCAATTTAATTGCTCAAAAGCTTTGATTTTGGAATGGAATGCATTAGAAAGAGGATGGTGGGTTCTAAGCGTAGGGGGTTCAAAATACATCCCAATATTGAATTATAGGACATTATTCATTCACTGCAGAATTATATAATTTCTTTTGCCTAAAACAATAAACTCACTTCTCTATGAGCATGTGTTTCGTCTGTTCGTCCAGCTGGAAGATCATTTGCTCTGTCAACTTTGATGGTACCGTGAGCAGCCTCTCAAGCAATGCAAAAGTTCTGATGAATAAAATTAAAACAATATTTTTATGGTCATACATTCAACATTGAGTAAGATGATGGTGTTATCACAAAAGTGTTATCTGAAGAGTCGCAATCAAATAATTTTCACATTTAGTATTATATCTTATTATTGCCTTTGGCAGCTGAGCATACAGCCCACCTGATGGTAAGTGGTTTCCATCACTTATGGACATCAACAATGCCAGGGACAAAGCCAAGCAGTTGTCACTTATGCTCTGAAGTCATTTGTTACCATGAGTTAAGAAATTAATAATAGTAATGGTTATTTAAAAGGTATCTTTTGATATTAACCTGTAATGATCGAGTACATCGCTGGCTATCAGCTCTACAGATGTTCCTAAATGTTTGGCTGCACCACGCTGATGCAGAGTTGACACTGCTTCACTAGCTGAAAGTTACGTATCATTTTGTTTCTCAATAATTAAGACAATATTCTTTTGAAAGTTTTGGGAATTTCCAAAAATAAAGACAGGTTTTCGTCATTTATAATAAATGATATAGATGCTATATATGCTATGATAAATATATATTCCGAATTCAACAAGTATATCTACTATATTCTGATAGGCTAGCCAAATATTCCCGTGTTTTGCACATACTCTATAATATATATTTCTTATGCTCATGTGTTGGTTGTAGTCTCGGACTAAAAAGAATTAAAATTAGACTTCGATTTGCAATTAGATTCTTAGTTTCTCAATTTGAATTCAGGGCAGGATATTGTTGAACCCTCAAGATCTACATGAGAGACTTAAGACCAAAGCCTTTTTAAGTTTCATACTACACCGAAATAGTCTGTCTGTTTTAATATAGTCACTCCTTTTTCTTCTGCCCTCTCATCCCCTGACACCAAATCATGAGTGCTAATGTATATCATAGTACCGTTATGCTGTCACACAGCAATGCTGCATTCTGGTAAAGTTATACTAGTCTTTAGTGGTAGGGTGTCTTGGTAACCCCTTGACATCAGGTGGGCGGTAGGCTCATCCAACTAAGCAATATTAAAAAATGCTTAGTTGGATGAGCTCCACTAAGGGTTTCATGGTAGTTGTATTATTGTTTTCAATTTTATTTATAAATTATAGTTTTAGCTAGAATTTTGTATCTACAAATATTGTTTTTATTCTGAAATAGGACCGACATTGAGGATATTAATAATATTTGAATATTAATGAATATAAGAGTTATTACTTTAATTAAGAACTAAAATTATATTTGTAATAAAAGCACATCAGTTGTACTCACATGAGCAACCCTCGATCCATAACTGGTATATTTCAGGATCGATCAGTGTATAATTACTAACGAATACATCAACTTCTGTGTACATTTTTTTGTTATTTGTCTTAACCTATTTGTTCTTTAACTTTGCATTTCTTTTTAATCGTTACCTATTTTAATGCATTTAAATAAATGATTTAATCGTAATTTTTGTAATTTGTTATTAGCAAAAAAAAAATTTGTATATCAGACAAACGGGGGCACAGCCCATACAGCCAAACCTTTTATAGCTTAAGTGAAATTGATTGAAAATTATTTTGAAATAAAATTAAAGAATCGAAAAAATATAGTGTGTATTTGTTTAATTTTATAAATGTAATGAAGTTAGAAACCACATCCGGTGATTTTAATTTTCTTCTCTCCACCATTTAGTGTCATCTTTCACTCTTCCATTCATTTAAATCTTCTTCAAAATACGTTAGTCTTTCTGCCTAGATGTGGTGGTGGTCGACTTTTTGGGCGCTACAGATCATTGTCAGCTATCAAACTATAACTTTTCGTTTTTACTTTTACTAGAAAGCTAGCTTTCTTTAGAAGCTTTCTTTTACTAGGTACGGGAAGCAGGAATAAAATAGTTTGATACACCTTTTTTGTAGTGCATTTAACTAATATGGAACTATTTTCAAAAATTTTAATGATTAAGTAACATTCAAGAATTTCGATTAAGTTACAACACGTTGAAGCACTAGGCAGGAATGACATGAAGTCAAATAAAACGGAACGCTAACGTTAAACCATAGATTATACGCAGTAACACAAACGAAAATGGCGAACTTACAGTAGTGTCACAATTAGATATGTATTAAAATAAATAAAAATGTTTTCAATAACATCTTGTACATTTTTATGTGTTTTTTTTGTACTCTGGAGTCCGGAAACATGTAAGTATTGAAATAACCGAAGCCATCAGTTTTGAAACACATATTTTGTTTACCACATTCAAACTTTGATTTATAAGTTTTTCGTCCAAAATTTCGGTCGAAGGACCTTGATTTTATATAACTGCGGGTCTGTAGCATTTAATTATCGATTAAGGACAAGGTCCTCAATAAATTCGCTATAGTTTCCGTCAAAAACAACGGAAAAACAACTTTTTATTTTTAACGAAAAATTACGCATATTTGACTGGGGACTCTAACGGTAATAGCACTGCTAGTATTTAAAGATGGGTCCTTTCACTTTTGTGCTATGTGATATAGGAAAAAAAAAGCATAAATAAACCATTCTTTAAAGTTGTAACATTCTCAACCAATTCTTTTTTAATATCGAAAATAAAAGTGCATTTTAACTAGCCTAAAGTAATTAATTAATGAAAAGTTTATTATAAGAATTACTGTGCAGTTTTAATAATATAAAAATTATTAAAAAATAATAAATCCCGGTGATATGAAAAATATTGCAAACCGATAATAATTAATGGTAATTAAGATGGTACAATTATAAGATTTTGTCATTGAACTATTACGTTATTGTTGATATCTATAGGCATTCATTAGTTGTTTATTATGCTTTGATCCTTGGTCTAGTGGCCAGTGACCTTGACTACTGTACTAACACCAAGGTCTGTCTTAAATTCTTCAATGCCTAACTCTACTTATGTTATATTTTCTACCATTTCTTGGTCTGAAATGAAATCTCTTCCACAGCTTATCAAGCATTGTGAAATGCCCTTGTTTAAATGAGGTCTGAGGAGTTGTTTTGACAAGGCAGTAGCTTGCCTGTGCCCGTAACATTGCTGATGGAGATATGGTCACCATAGATTATCAGAGCTGTATATTCTTTTGCCTACGAAAGTAATATAGAAAAAGAATTCTAACTAGTCAGGAATATGCAATCTATGTTTTCAGCGAAACATGGGACGTGAATCCGTTTTCATTGTGACTAACAAACGAAATAGTAGAAATAGAAGATGTCAATTCCACTTGCTCAATCCACAGGTCTTAGTTACAAAAATATTCAAATCTCAGTGATTGATTATAGAAACATTCCTATCAGAATTGACTGTTGTCTTGACCGACAGTTATGATATAAATATCCAAATAAGCTACTTAAATAAAATTATTATATCCCAAGAACAATCAATTTTTAATTGCACAATTTCTTATTAGAGGTGAAACGAATGAGACAGGTATAATGATCTTTGATTTTTTTATTCTAAATGATGATGACGGTCCTTGTATATACTTAAGATTATTTTAATTGATACACCAACAAAGTTAATGACACTATGAGAGGACTAATTATGTCTTAAATTTGTGATTTATAAATGAAGGTTTGATAAATACAGACTAACTCGAATTCTCAGCAAAATAGGACCAAACAAATTTAATGAAGTATTACTGACAGAGCCCTTCGAGTTCCATTAACAAAGAAGCTTTATGAAACAAGATTACTGTGTTGTAATTGGAAGCACAATTTCAAAGATTCCTGACACAACTAATGTTATATATTTGCTGTCCTGAGATTCTGCGACAAATGGAAAAGCTTGAAAAGATACTACCTTACTTGTTTCTGCGAGTCAAGCAAGCAAGTTATACAGTTTGTAGAGTAACAGCTATTGTACTAATGTATGTAACTGAGAATATCATTAATTGAGTAATGACAGTGACGTAGTGATTACATGAGGTATGATGGGCTCTGATAACTAACTACCATTAAGTAGCTAACTTGAGCCTCAACATTTAATGAACATTTTAATATACTTAAAAAACAAACGGCATCATTCAAGTGGACCTCTAGAAACATACTCTTTCTCACATGCCCGTAATCTTTAATCCTCAGGTGCATCAGACATACCACATCTGCTCCTGTACAGCCCAGGTGATGTTCAGTACACAGACGTCCTGGTGAAAAGAGTAAATGACAATTTGACCCTCATTTGTGAGCTGCAAGGGGACAACACAAAGAGGAGATATGTCTGGAACTATGTCGCTTCGGATCTGGGAAATGTCACAGATTTTAAAACGTAAGTTTTTGTCCATCAACACTCCTAGCATCTTGGCTCTGTCAAAGTCTGTCAGACCCATATCTTAGCAATCTACCAATTCATTGTGCTGGTAGTGAGTTCATTTCTGAGAGATGAATTGGAGAATGCCACTGAACATGCGACCTGTCGTAGGTTTAAGGGCACCCCTGGCCTTCTTTCCCTGTCTAGCTAATTGTAGTGATTTTGGTGTAATGAATTCAGATAAGTGCAATGTAGTGGACTAGAGTGGTGGATAATAGCATATTTTTAGTTTGATGGTTATGTTTTTACACTTTCTTTCTTTATTCTTTATTGTACACACAGTTAATATAATACAATAATTGCAAAAAGTTCTAAAATGGCGAGCTTAACTCAACAATTGAGTTCTCTACCAGCTAACTGTACTTAAAGAGCTTTACATAAGTGGGTAAAAGAGTACAATCTAATCAATTTACTTATTGATACAATATACAATTACAATAATAATAAAAAAAAACACTAATACATAATATATCTATCTATCTATCTATCTGTGTTTATTGTCTAGCGTCTTGGCAAATAAGAATAATAATACAATCCAGGCTGCAGGATGTCATAAAATTAAGATCTATTAGAGTAAACTATTGTGTATTAATGAGGGTAGATCTATGCATTGTAGGATCCAGCACATACAGCCACATTGTTGCCACTTTGATTACATGACATCTTACCATTTACATTTGCACACATAATTAATTCATAGTAGAAATAAGCTTACGACAAATCTTATTAGATTAAAGACTTCAAATTCATTTTACCAGAGGAAATCCATTATGGCACTTGCTCACATTGGTTCACCAATATTACCAATTGTAATTGGATATAATTTAAAAACATAAATAACATTTTTTTGTAGACCATACACAGTTGATACATTAGCACCGAGCAACAGGAGTACATTGTACAAAACAGAGCTCCAGATCTCGGACAGCGGTCATTACATGTGTTCGGCCCCACCATTCAGTGTTACCAAGTATATTGTTGTACAAAATAAAGGTATGTATAAAATATACTAATTCCCGTACTGTGCAAGTTGTGTAGGTTGTGATTGACACTAAAACTCCATTTGTAACTTTTTTATTTTACCGTTTTAATGCCTGGCGAGTTCACGGCACACCAGGTGTTAAGTGGTTACCGGAGCCCATAGACAACTACAACGTAAAAGTTTGAAGGCTCCGGTATTGGAGGTACACGTACATTTGTGTCCAGGTGCTGTGGGCTGCGCCAGGGGGGCCCTCAGCTGCGGCTTCCGTTGCGTGCTGCCGGCCTACGTGTGCGACGGCCGCACGGACTGCGCCGACGCAGAAGACGAGCACCCCCTCATGTGCGGAGAGAACGTTTGCATGCGTGAGTAAACCGCAACATTCAATGAGTCCACACGTTGCCTACTGTGATGGGTTCAGGAGATACATAACTAAGACACAAATAAAATGTTCGCAGAATGCTGAATATTTAAACGCTTTTATTAATTTTACCAATTTATATAACTCAACTTAATGTTCATTTATGATTCCGAGACATCCGATCGTCTTGAATATGTGCGTATTAAGTGGGTTTCACTTTACACCTACATTGAGCCATCACCGAAGTCCTAGTTATATGGCGTAAAAGCGCTCTACCCTCAAAACTGGGATATATAGTGGTGGCAGAAATATACAGGATTATGGTGTCTGCTTGCTCGACCTAAAGCTAAGGTTTCCTTTTTTTTTTTCTACCTATGCTGATAGCCTTGAAAGGCTATATCAGCTTCGCCCTGACATGTAGGTGAGCTCACGGGGCTGAAACCTGACGACGTTGCTAACACGAACTGTGTCTGTGGGTTAATAGGACGGTGACCGGTGCTAGTGGTACCTAAAAGCAACGTTAATGGATCAGGAGGATCCGTAATGACGTGAAGGTTTCTTACTACTACCTAAAGTTATAAGTGATATAATACAGTAAAAACTATGACCTCGTGTTCCAACGTGGATAGTTTTCGGGCACCCGTGAGGGTGTCCCAGAGCTGGTGGTGATGGGAGCGGTGTGCGCAGGGTCGGACCGGCTGAACTGCTCGGACGGGCGCTGCGTGCCGGCCGCGGCGTGCTGCGGGGCGCCAGCCGCGCTATGTCGCCAGCCGGCCTGTTGCAACGAGCACCCTTCCTACTCCAGGCTCGAGGGTAACGTTACGAGACTCATGTGACGTCATTTGGGGCCAATTAACGCTTCGTAGGGAACATTATTTTTCCGATATTTCTAAACTCATTTTTATTAGGATTTTTTATTATTTTCATATTTAAAAACACATTATTGGGTATTATAATTGTGCCTACTTCCTAGCACTTCAAAAGGTAAATAAAGTGCATTAAAAAAAATTGACCGCTAATGACGTCATCCATTGTAAATGATTTTTAAAAACTGTTGCAATTAATAAACTTAACTAAACTTTTTTTGTTGGTTATTATATGTACGGTTTATCCAAACAGCTCTTATAAAATGTATTCTTATTTCATTTCTGTGCTTCACTAACCCCCCATTTTCAAGACTGGGTAACTGAGCTGATGCCTTCTACATTACAGGTCCTATTGAAGTGGAGTACCCTCAAGTGTTTGATGACAGACATGCTCCAGACGACTACGGCTTTATACAATCCACCATCTACACTGTGACCGGTGAGTCCTTACGTGACCATGTACACTGGCAGGTACATAATGAGCTTATAGTTTTGTCGCAGTGAAATGATACCACTAATTACAATTTTATATTTAATTAAATAGCGATCAAATAATACAAGTGTTAATATAATACGCACCAGCGTATGTTTTGTCTCGAACTCAACCCAATGAAAACATTTTGCGAGTACCGTCGAATAATATATATAGTGGGATGCTCCAGCGCAGGGCCGTACTCAGCGCAGGGCCGCACTCAAACTCGCTACAAGCTCATGGATACTCGCAAGGCCTTTTGTGAGGTTAGAAGCTATTGTCGTACCTTGAAGTGTCAGGTTGAAGTCTTGATTTATATTGGTTCGCAGCTGTGGGCTTCGGTCAGGACTGTGTGAAGTTCAGATATAAACAACAGATAGTGGTATGGATGGATGGATGGAACGGATTGTTGGATTGATGTGTACCATGTGAATACTGAAGATAGATTAGGGAAGTAGTAGCAAGAGTTTAAAGGGTCGATTGCCTAATGGGCAAGATGAATCTGTATCTATACTATCCGATCTTGAGGTGTGTAGGAACTTGTCTAAACCGCTTAATAATACTTAGGCTATATACTTGTTCACCCACCTACAGCAATATAACTAAATATTTCACGAATCCGCAATGTATTACAAAACAGCTGACAACAGCTCTCGCGTTCTTCGAGGTTATTGACCCAATCAGCTGATTTATGATTCGTGTTACATTGCTTGCTAGCAAAAACATTATTAAAACACCTGATTTCCTCCACTATTTGATGATGTCGTTGGTGTAGTGGTTAACAATGCTCAATACTGGTTATGGCTGGGCCTGTCCGCCCATCGGGGCTGGTATTTACGTTTGTACAAGGCTCTGATTATCCTGTGCCTTCCAGCCTGCGCCTTGATCTTCATGATAGCGGTGGTGCTGCTGATATCGGCGATATGCAAGATGCACATGAAGAGGGCCGCCCTCCGGAGCTACGCCCACGCGGAGCGAGCCACCCGCCGCCACTACAGCGTCCACTACGCACAGGTATACGTCCGCTTGGCACCAGCGCTGGATAGAACAGGGGTTCCTGTGTGGGAATACCGCCTAAATTACTGGTGGTAGGACCTCGTGTGAGCCCGCACGGGTAGGTACCCCCACCCCGCCTATTTCTGTCGTGAAGCAGTAATGCGTTTCGGTTTGAAGGGCGCGGCAGCTGTTGTAACTATACTGAGACCTTATATTAGGGTATACTTAATTGAAGGTTGTGCTTGTGTCTCGCAGACGCAGCGCTTCCCGCCATGCTACGAGGCGTCGCGGCTACTGGAGGACGGGCGGGCCGCCTCCCCCGCGCACTCTCCGCACGACTCGCCCGCCCGCCAGAACCTGCAGGTGCGACCTCCTCACGGCACTCCACGAACTCCTCGTGTGTGAAGAGTCTGTGGTTTTGTTGCAGTGAAAGGACACCACCAATCACAATTTTATATTTATTAAAGAGCGATAACTAATGTTAATAGCGGAGCACCCAGCATATGTCGGTCTCGAACTCAACCGAATGAAAATGAAAACATTTTTCAAATACCGTCGAATATTATATATAGTGCGATGCTCCAGCGCAGGGCCGTACTCAGGCTGGCTACAAGTTTTTTCTACATTCCATACTCTTAAATATTATTGTTGTCTGTTATTAAGAAATATTATTGCCAACTCGCACCAACAGGGTAATAACATGTATGGTTTGCTGTTGACAGTGCAACCCCGGATGCCCTCCGGCCGCTGAGCTGGAGACCAGACCCGGCTTCGGGCTGGCGAGTTTGTCCGCCATCTTCTCGTCTAGATACAGACAGGTAACTGTCATTGAGTGTACTCGTCGAACCCGTCGCTTGCGACGAAGGGCTTCGCGAATAAATTAACCTACAGACAGCCCACTAAGTTTCTCGCCGGATCTTCTCAGTAGGCCGCGTTTCTGATCCGGTGGTAGATTCTGCGAAGCACGGCTCTTGCTAGGGTTCGTGTTAGCAACGTGGTCAGGTTTGAGCCCCGTGAGCTCACCTACTAGTTAAGGTTACGCGGAAATAGCCTCTCAAGGCTATCAGCTTAGGTAGGGAAAAAAAGTCACAGGTTGTGTTTTAGTTCAATGACAGGTCGTTGTCCGGACTAGATTTTGTGTAATAATAATAATGACCGGGGACATCACTCGGCTTCCAACTAGGCTACTTTCTACAGTGGGATTTTATTTGTTATAGATTTAAATATATGGTTAAAACCAATCATTGTTTAAAATAATCATTGTTTCGCCTCGAGTAGAGCTGACCACCGACCAACCTCACGTCGTCTCTACAACGCTTGTATAGACCACACGACATGTCTAGAATTATTGAGAACAATTCTGATACTACTAATCGTTTTGATATCCATTTCTGTTATTTAACGACATATGGCGTTACTTGTACTGGCATAACTATATAATCGCCCAGACAAAGAGCAAACAAAACCTGTTGGTCACACGAATATTTGCCCAAATATCAAATCAACGACCTTCGGCCCAGCAATTGAGTGCACTAACTGCTGCACCACTGGTATAAGTATACTTTGGTAGTTATTGGTTCATTAGCTTAATCTAGCACTTTACAATTCCAGGTCCCACTCCCCCCTGCCGAAGTGGAGATGAACGCGATCAGGGCCTCCTCGACCAGCTCCAGCATCCAAAACTACCGGAGCCCCACGTACTGCGACCTCCAAGAGGAGCTGTTCGCCAGTCCTGAGTCTCAGGCCACGGGCAGGGACCTCAACTATATGGCCGCCCCTCTGGAACTGTTCCGCAGACGGGCGAGGAGCTCGCTGGACCGACAGCGCCTCACGCTGCAGCTGGGTCGGTTCCAGTTGACGCTGCCCTTCCGGGACCGGAGACCGGACACGCCCAACGTTTCTGAAGTCGACGACGAGGACACGTACACCCTCAACGGCAGGACCATCCGGCTGCTGGGCGCCGACCTGGAGAACTACCCGGTCGTGTCGGACGGCATCGCGAGGCCGCCGCCCTACGCGGAGGCGGTCCGCTACAAGCTCTTTGGGCCGCCGCCAGAGTACCTCAGCAGGGAAGCGCTGAATCTTAGGGTCGATATGGAGGCGAGGACCAATGTGGAGATGCCGCCACGCTACGATGATCTAGCGTCGGGCGCCTCCTCCGACAGCCAACCGCGAGCGCCGGAGAGTAACGGAGTCGCCCCCACCCTGAGCTCGGTCATCGACGACCTGCCGGATATCGACAATGACGCGCCCGGCACCGCCTCCTCTCTGGCGCCGCACTAGCGGCTGATGATGCAGCCTCCAACCACCGAGCCAGCAAGTCGGTCATCGGTCATGTCTTTAAAGACGCTCTGCGAAAAATATTCGGATAATTTCTTTAAATAACTATCCTATGAATTACAGTCCGACCGTTAAGAGCATGCAAAACTGCCCTGTACCAAGTTAAGGGTATGTTGACAATGATTTATTTCTTAATGATAGTCATTCGTTAATAGTGCAAATAAATAATGAAAAATAAATCATGGTATGCTTAACGCCGACTCAAAGCCACGTCATGAGTCCGATCGTGCCCGCTATAAACGCATACTCTCAGCGGCCGGATTATAGCTGATGATGCTTACAAGAAAAACATGGAATGTCTAGTGATTTTGTTCGCAACCGACTTGCTGGCTCTGATGTTGTTGACTATGACATTAACACTGTTGTGACACAAGTTTCTCGCACCCTTGCCTCTTGTACTAAGTTTAGTCTTAAGATGTTCGCTGCGACGAATTCTTTCAAAGCGCCGTCGTCCGGTCCGCGGGCAAAGGGAATTGTTATGACGCCGTCATCCGCCTACGGCCAGTGGTAACTCGACCTTATAGTCTTAACTTTAGAAATTTATATTAATAAGATATTACAGAGACTTCATTAGTTTTTATTGGAAATATAGTATTATTGATTCGACAACATTCATTTTCAAATTTGTAATTTTAATTAATGGAACTTGTTCATTATTCGAGAAGCTTAGTTAGCTCTGGGTAGGGGCGGACGTAGCTGAGCTCTTGGCATCGCTGATGTCCAAGGGCGACCAAAGCCAGTCCTTCGTGGCGTATGGGCAGTAAAAGGTTCCAAAATTCCCTCATTCAGATGTCGTTGGGCATTAAGGTTCACATTTAGGAAATTCGATATTTTGTGACTCCGCAATGTAGTGGTTACAAAAATCACGAGGTCAATAATAGCAAAGCAAATTTTGCATTTGAGGTCATTTCGATGTGTCTTATCTGAAGTTAGTTATCAAATGGAACAGCCGCCTGTCTGTATACCGGTCATGAACTCCCGTAGGTTTTGTTTGTACCATACGATTGCGACCTCACGTCTCAATGTGAGCCACGGCGATTGTTATAACATCCATAGACCCCGGTAACATTGTCCAACAAACAAAGACAAAATAAATGTACAGTAGGCAGCAGCTTGGCTCCGCCCCTGGTATTATTGAAGCCCATGGGCGACGATAACCATCAGGTGGGTCGTATACTCGTCTGCCAATAAGGCAAATAAAAAAAATTATAATTCACTAAGATTGATTTTTTTTATGGGATATTATGACCTGGTAACTAAGACCTTTAAGTCATGTCTGTTTTTAATTTATATTCTTATTTTTATGAAAAACGATAATATAGAGTGAAATGAAATGAAATGAAGATGATTAATTTGAGACATTAATCAACTGAGATGAAATATAATTTCAGTAAAACAAAATAGTTGTACATTGTTGGCTCCTAATACTTTAGTAATTGATTTTGTATCCATTGCCGTTTCGGCTTAGCGTAGAATTCCCTTGTCGAATCTTAACGATTGTAAACGAATCTCATATGTAAATTTGGACGTCGCTTTGAAAGATCTCGACGGAACAAGAAAATAACTTATCCGGAAATTAAAACCATAGAGCGGGTAGTTTTTCTTAGACACGTTTGCCTCAACTACCGACTTTATGGTTCTAATCGCCCGATATTGTTCACACTACACAACACAGATTACAATACTAGTGCCTTACACTTAATTATAATTAATCGAATACGTACTTAGCGATGTGTAAAATATTATTTAAAATCGATACTAGCTAATATCGATTTTTAAAATTAATCGGACAACGATAATCGTAATTATATTATAAGAACAAAAAATTTAAGAAACTTCAACTAAACTTGAAAGTGCCATAAGCTTATTCAAATGTTATACTTTAAAAACTTCTAAGTTTTAATTATAAGGCAGCCGTTTTTATTACATACATATATATAAATAAACTAGGTAAAAAAAATCATAAGCGATCTTAAGTATTATGTTATATTCAAGTTATATGAGCCCGCAATGTATTTAAAATTTTGGAGTCCGCGTCAGTGAGGCCATTGACACTGTCAACTTCGGCTTGTGTATTGATAGTTAATACGACTGTCTCGTTGGTGCAGTGGTTAGCGGGTCTGACTGTTGCGCCGGGGGTCGTAGGTTCGATTCCCGCATCGGGCTAACATTCGTGTGACGAACAGGTTTGCTTGCTCTTCGTCTGCGTATTTAATATCTATATACGTATACATTTGAACGTATTTATGTACGTATGTCAGTCTCTGGTATCCATAACACAGTGAGTCCTAATTCGGGCCTATTATTATTTTTAATTATGATTCCGTATATGAAATTTAGTGTTGAAGTTTTATTGTGATAGAAAAAAAAAGTCCATCATACATTGCTGGCTCTGATCGTGTTCCGTTGACAGCCGCGTTCGTTGACCCGAAAACGTTTCGTTTGTGATACATTGCTTGCTCACGTACGATACGCTAATATTTGTTTTAAATCAATATTGTTTTCTGCGTAGGCGATTACTTCATACGTGGGTAGATTCATAAAATTAAGTTTAAAAAAAAATTTTAAATGTTCTATCAGATGATACCGCACGGAATTGTCTGTCTGTTGGTCTAACCTTAATGGTCCACGATTGTCTCCCATCCGCTTTGCCCGATTATATCTGCCCATTATGGATGGGGCAGTCGTTGTACTATATAAGCCGTGTCTCGAAGTGGGTGGTGGGATTTGCGTTGTTGATGTCTATGGGCTCTTAACAGGAATTAAAAATGAAACGGATGTAGATATTTGTAATTAAAAAAAATCTAAAATTTCCCTGCTCATTTTTGACATAGAAATTACTCATATTACGATTGAACCGATTGATAAATAGGTATATATATAAATAAATGTGAGCACAGTGACGTGTTAATGAGATCGCAGTCTCACTCGCACGCGCGCCCCCGGTGTGACGTCACACGCGCTGCACCCCCGACAGTGACATCACACGCCGCCGTGACAACTACCCACAAAACAATTTAAAAACGTTTGCAATCGCTTTTACGAATCAATTCTGTAATTATATTCGCGTTGCGTCGAGCGAAGTAGTTCCGCGCCGTCGTCGAAGCACAAAAATGGTTGTTTTTTTTGTAGTTTACTTAATAAATAAATGTATTATATGTATATTTAGGATAGAGACGAAAAACCATTTAAAAAAACAAGAAGTTAAACATTACAAAGTTTGTGATTCTCAAACTTTAATTTAACATAGCCACTGAAATAAATCATTAAACAACCAGAATACAGAATAAGCACTTTTGTATTTATTATCTTGACGGTAAGCATCCATTTACCAAAATTTAAAGATTAAGACTCGCACAAATCTTGCCCACGACTACTTTCCCTCACGAACGCCGCCGAACTCAATGAATGTTTCGGGTCTTTTTTTCCTACCTAAGCTGATAGCCTTGAGAGGCTGAATACCGAGCTAGTAGTAGGTGAGCTCACGGGGCTCAAACCCGACGTTGTTGCTAACACTGGCTCTAGCAAGAGCAGTGCTTCGCAGAATCTACCACCGGATCGGAAACGCGACCCACTGAGAAGATCCGGCGAGAAACTCAGTGGGCTGTGTCTGTGGGTTAATTTACTTCGCTACCGTCGCTTGCGACGAAGGACGGCGACCAATACTTGAGGTACCTAAAAGCACCGTCAATGGATCCGGGGAATCCGTAATGACGTGTTTAGGGTGACGTCGACTGTTTACCATTCGGTCCACAGGATCGCGTGGTGTTTCGGGCAAATGTGTTGTACCCCTGTACATTATTTTTACCCGTCGACCTCTTCGCCCTCTACCTTGCACTACAATTTCCATACATCTCCTAGTCACACGCATCTCACGTCTACGCATCACATATGCATATATAAAAAAATATATAATTATAGTCACAAATGGTAGGATCGCGGTTATATTATGTTGAGACGTCGATCTCAGGGTTAAGTGAACGACTTCTTCTAGCTTCAGAGGTTTTTGATTGAGTGAGAGCAGCTCACATAGCCCACTCTGCGCAACTCACTTGAAGCTTCCTTCATTCGAATACTACTCCGTTATATTACATCTCGTAGCTACAGCCGTCGTAGCTATGGGTGGACGAGCTCACCGCCCACCTGGCGTTAAATGGTTACCGGAGCCCGTAGACATCTACAACGTAAATGTCGCCACATACCTCGAAACATGAGTTTTAAGATCTCATTTTTAACAGTACAACGGCTGCCCCACCTTTCAAACCGAAACGCATTACTGCTTCACGACCGAAATAGGCAGGGCGGTGGTACCTACCCACGCGAACTCACAAGACGTCCTACCACCAGTAAAAAGACATGCTTATTCCACTTCAGAGTCGTTTTAATAGCCCCGTGATCTGGTAGACGCGTCGAGAAGCGACTAAACAATAAAGTTTACGTAAAGATGTCAATAAAAATCTTAACGAAACATATCTTTAATAGTTTAGCGGTTTTAGTTCGTTCTTCATAATAACATTATGATTAGCGATTATTGACGTTGTTAGTTGTATTATTTTAGCTTTAACTCGGTTACGATTTGGTACTTAAAAATTTAAACGCCGCCTGTCATCATGACAGCTGTCACTGTCACTGACATATGCGGGGAGCGGGTGACTGTAGCACCTTCAATGCAAGTCTTCGCTAAAGCTATGGAGGGTAGAATTAAGGCCCACTTTCTCGTGTAGGTGTTTCTTGTGTAGATAACTATTCCGAGACCTTAGAACTTATATCTCAAGGTGGGTGGCGCATTTACGTTATAGTTGTCTATGGGCTCCAAAAACCACTGAACACCAGGTGAACTGTGAGCTCGTCCACCTATCTAAGTCAAAAAAAAAAGAAAAAAGTGACTAGTTGGGAAAGTGTCCACCTGTAAATGAGTCGTCTATTATCAAAGGTGGCAATCTGTGCATTTGAACAAGAAAATGTTATTGATATGTCAATACAGATTGATTTGAATATAATCGTCTCCTTCAAAGAATGCGGTTCAAAACCTGCATTAAATAAAGGTTAATACTTAACCTGTTATTTATCTAAGATGTCGTTCAGAAGAGTTTTGTGGCTGCTAATAGAATACAAAGTCAATAATTCGTTTTTCTGATTTACCAATAATTGTCCAAAAGTCACATTGCCGGCTTTGATACTAGTCGACTCAAATAGTCAGTTGTCGTTGGAAGACTCGTCGAAATAGCGCTAGTGTAGCAAGTGGAAATGATATCGACGCTTGAAAAGCAAACGTGACTAAGCGACAATGCGTGAACCTTACAGTAGATTAATTTAAAGTTGAAGTACCTGAAAAAAAATCTATTTTAACGAATCTAACTGTAGGATTGAAATGATTTTAATAGACCTAGAAATATATATTTTTTGCGCATCGAATATGGTTATTGCCTATCATTTATGTACAAAGCAGTTATTGTCGCTTAGTCACGTTTGCCTTTCAAGCGTCGATATGAATATAGCAGTCTTAAACAGAGTTGAATGTGCTGGGTCGAAGTGAAGTTTGCTTGTTTATAGCGCTGCATATAAAATCCTTCCACTTGCTACTGTGGCGCCACCTTAATTGGCCATCTTTCAACGGACACTTTAACACACTGCTATGGTGCTTCTACCCTCCATAGTTAGCTAGAGCTTATATAGTTAGCATAAAACAATGTAATGTTTGAATTTAAAGGCAACTATATGTGCGTCTCATATTTAGTATCGTATATCGTAAGGATCGCTAATTTGGCGTTTACTGGCTTTACTTACTGTATTGGTATTGATGTGAACATCGATACAAAACATGATTTTAACGGAATGTTTTTTTTTGTGTGGATATTAAATTTTAAAGGCTGTCTCGGTGGTGTAGTGGTTAGCGATCCTGACTGCTGTGCCGAGGGTCGTGGGTTCGATTCCCGCGTCGAGCAAACATTTGTGTGACGAACATATTTGTTTGCTCTTCGTCTGGATGTTTATTATCTATATATGTTTTTATTTAAATATAATAAGTATGTATGTCAGTCTCTGGTACCCATAAGACAAGGAATCCTAATTTGGGGTGGGTGACCGTGCGTGATATTTTGTACCCATTTTTTTTTCTTTTTTTTTTACATGATGTCTGCGTGAAGCCATGGAAGACTTGCATGATTGTATTGGAGGTGCTACCGTCTCGCTCTAAGCTGCCGTCTTATTAGTGTATATTTTGAATGTTTCTCAGTAGCATACTTGGGCGTTTTAGAAAAACGTTTTCGTAAAAACAACCTCACGAGTAGATGAATCGATTCGAAGCCATTAAAACCTACACGCATTAATAATCAAAGATAATGTACTACCTCTTAAGTTCAGCTTGTACTAAATGTAATTAAATAAATGAATGTAAATAAATTATAGTTTGTTAAATGGTGTTTGTTTTTGATTTAATTTTTTTTCTCCGTTAAATCCAAGAATGCCCAGGGTTTCTTGGAAGAACAACGGAAGTACAACGAAGATCGAATATTGGATTTTTTTAATAATATTTTTTTTTAAAAACCTTAAATTAATTAGGGGTTGTAGTAGACTTAATTTTTTATTGCATAGATGTGTTGACGCGCTCACAGCCCTACTGGTGTCAAGTGGTTACCGGAGCCTATAGACATTTACAACGTAAAAGCCGCCACCTACCTTGAGATATAAATTCTAAGGTCTCAGTATAATTACAACGACTGCCCCGCCCTTCAAACCGAAACGCATTACTGCTTCACGACAGAAATAGGCGGGGCGGTGGTACCTACTCGCGCGGACTCACAAGAGGTTCTACCACCAGGAATTACGCAAATTATAATTTAAATAATAATTAATTTAATAAATTATAATTAGCCTACATTTTGGAGGTTAAATTACACTTATACGAATTGATACGATTCGCCCGTTTTTGTAATGGAAACTCAACATTCTCCAGATCGCATCTACATAGTAGGTTAGTTCCAGGTATTCGATTGTCAATAGCTGATATTGCATAAATCGTATAGACAACATTATTTTTGTATGATTTACAAAAAAGAAATATTACAATTTAAAAGTGACAACAAAGTTAAGTTGAAGTCAATATGTCCGACTTCAATATTTGTGAAGGATTTAAATTGAATTAGTGATTTATTTAAGATATGATAGACGGGCTCACAAATACCACAACGTGAATGGTGCCACCTAGCTGAACTGGAAGAACTAGGCGTCTCGGCAAGACTTCACCGCTTGCCTACGTAGGATTTCCGAGTTTTTCGGTTAAGTTGCAAGGAAAAAGGGTGACAATCTCGAAAGACTACTCATCACCGGCAAAGTGGAAGGTCTAGAGGACGTAGTCCCATGCGCTGGTTCGATCAAATCAAGACGACATTGGACTCCAGCATCTATGTCGCTATTCACTGCGTAGAGGACTGGAAAGTCTGGAGGCACATGGTCCTAACAAAAGTGCTCCGTAAAGGTCACGACCTTCAACACTGAGGAACACGACGCAAGGAAGAGGAGAAGCTGAAGACGTATGCAAAATCTCAATTGTTTTGTAAAAGAGGCAAGAGTGATCTATCTTAAAGGAATCTTCACAATACAGGGAACTTACTCTATGAGGGAACTTCACAGCTGAAATACATAGAAAGGTTGTCACTAGATGTCGCTACTAAAAAGATAGAACTTTACGAGGCGCGCTGTGTGAGCAATTTCATTGGACAATAGATGGCGCTGTTCGGCTTTTACAACCGGTGTTCTATTTTGTAGATAAAAGGTGAAATATTTCTAGTATTTAGCTGCAACGCCTGCAACACGGTTTTCCCTGAGCATTATTATATTAACATCAAATAGGTACGACGCCATAATTTTGGGAAAGTTTTATAGCCTATATACGTAGCTGAGCGAACACACAAAAAAAAAAAAAAAAAAGCCCACTGCGTTTCTCGCCGGATCTTCTCAGTGGGTCGGGTTTCCGATCTGGTGGTAGATTCTGCGAAGCACTGCTCTTGGTAGAGACAGTGTTAGCAACACATCCGGTTCGAGCCCCATGAACTTACCTAAAGGTTAGGGTGAAGCTGAAGTAGCCTCTGAAGGCTATCAGCACAGTAAGGAAAAAAGTGAAATTTAAGAAAAGTTGGCGTGTTCTGTTCTGTAGAAAAAATGTTTTAGAACGAAAGAATAATTTTAGTTACATTTTAATTGCGCTATCTATAAATTAGATTAAGAATTAGAAAGCTTTGAGTACTTTTCTAAATAGTACACTTACTTACCACTAGATGTCTAAAAACTTAATAAATCGTCAGGTTTGAGCCCCGTGAGCTCACCTACTTGCTCGGTTACGCTGGTATAGCCTCTCAAGACTACCAGCTTAGGTAAAAAGAAATGCAAAATAAAACACATTTTACAAAATTAGCAATAATACATTTATTCGTTACATTATAAAACTGGAATAACTTAAAAATAAAAGTTTTAAAGGCACTTAAATGAACGGCACTGGTTTTTCTCAGGTTTTAACTTTAAAATAAAATTAAAACAAAATGGCGTTAAACCAAAATTCACAATTAAACATTTTTTTAATATTTATAGATTTCTATCCAATATTCACGATAAAACGAAATAACCAAACTTCAATTTAACAAGACATCCAAGTTGCAGTGCAAAAAAAGTCTTTACGTCAAATTCCATGTTTCATTATTTTCGGCGGGAAACAAAATAGAAAGGCAGCCATTTTGAATGCACCTAAATATTGTTTTTATGATCATTCTGAATGTGTGGATGACATGCGAGTAATTTAATATTTGGTTTGGTAATTGTACGTACATCGGGCGAATTATGTGATGATTCAATTTATAAATAAACAATTTAAAATATAACTTATTTAAAGCTACGATATGAAATTCCGGATGCTACGCTATTCGATCGCGTTCGCGGAGCATACTTCCTTCTTAAAATATCTTATATGTCCACATCCTAAGGACATCTTAAATATTTATTACATAATTGACGAAATAAATTCTTAGCCCTTTGACTGCCTTGTAGGTCACCGGTGCCCTACGCGGCGCACTGGAGTAATTATGTCGATATCTGTTACTTTTTTTTTTAATTGCTTTTATTGCTTTTTTTATTGCTTTTATGGCTTACTAATCGCCTGGTTTACCTAACTTTGCCTTCTTTTGTTTGGTAATGTATGTCTTTTGGATTTCTTAGATTCATTCTCAGTTACGTTCGGATTCGTCTTTCCCGGAGTTTACTAGATATTCCGGCGTAACAGAATTCGACATAATTACTTCAGTTCGCCGCGTAGGGTACCAGTGACCTACACAGTCGGCAAAGGGTTAAACACTATTATTTTCATTTAAGATAAAAATCGTTTGAGAGACACATTTCGCAAAGACAACTCTCTCAATTTTAAAACATTACAAATACTTATTCCTCGTAAGCGAAGAACTACAGACGCTTATTATTAAAAAATCGATCATCATCAATGTTTACAGAGACTAATCCAAGTTGAAAATTCAAATAAAAAAATATATACAAAGGAGTCAATATCCGAATTTTTATTTCACTAATTTAAAAATGTCGGTATACGGCAAAAAAAAACAAATTCTGTTCATTTACATTAGACATTAATTAAAAGATAATTTTATTATTCGATACACAAGTGAGCATAAGTGTATTGATTTGAAGAATCTGAAATGGCTGATAGTTTTGTATAGAGCTTCTAGTGTTGAATATGGGACGCGGCTTGTACACACATATGACGTCACAGCTGACGTAGCATCAGCCGATGTGTATTCAATAGAAGAATCTAAAACCGCTGATAGAGTTTTGTATAGAGCTTCTAGTATTGAATATGTGACGCGACTTGTCTGTACACACATATGACGTCACAGCTGACGCAGCATCAGCCGATGTGTATTCAATAGAAGAATCTAAAAGGGCCGATAGTTTTGTTTAGCGCTTCTAGTATTGAATATGTGACACGGCTTGTCTATACACACGTATGACGTCACCGCTGACACAGCATCAGCCGATGTGTATTCAATAGAAGCATCTAAAACCACTGATAGAGTTTTGTTTAGCGCTTCTAGTATTGAATATGTGTCGCGGCTTGTCTGTACCCACGTATGACGTCACAGCTGACGCGGCATCATCCTATCAAGTCCTTGAGCTTGTTCTTCAGCAGCCGGACCTTCCTATTGACGGCTCCCCGATAGTTCTTCCCCTCGATCTTCTGTGTCGCGAACCGGCTCCGGCTGGTGACCCTGTCGAGGAACTGGTCGTAGTAGTCCGGCAGCGGGGTGTCCTGTAGGGCTCCGGCGGCGGCGGCGTGTCGGGTACACATGTTCCGGATGAAGTGATTGAACATCGCCGTCTCCGTGAACCATTCCAGGAAGTAGTGGTTCTGCTTCGTGGTGGCGCTTTTGATGAACGACTCCTTCTGTTATAAAAAAAAAATTTTGTTTGTTTAATACGCTTTTATTATCTTCTGGCGTATGTATGTTTGTAACGAAAATCTTTGAAAATGATTTTGATACCATTCAAAACGTCGGATTAATTGGAAATTTGGTATAACTTATTCAGGACCTAATGGATCTATAAAGGACAATTCAATATTTAAGAAAAACTGAAAAAATTGAAATTCAACTAAAAAATGAAAAATAAATAATAATTTAAAAAAACTAACAAAATACACTTTTATAGAAAATCCAACTAAAAAATAGAAAATAAATTTTAATAAATTTGAATTAAAAATAATGTAAGAAAAAATGATTTTATTGTAAAAAAGCGTGGGCACGGCAGAAATAGGCGGGGTACCACCACCCCGCGTGAAGCAGTCACGCGTTTCGGTTTGAAGGGTGGGGCAGCCGTTGGAGATATGAGTTCTAAAGTCTCAGTATAGTTTTGTAACTATACTGAGACTTTAGAACTCATATCTCAAAGTGTGTGGCGACATTTACGTTGTAGATGTCTATGGACTCCGGTAACCAATTAGTACCAGGTGGGCTGTGAGCTCGTCCACCCGTCTACCCTCCCCCCTCAAAACGGACAGGAATAGGACGGCGTTGGGTGGGCGACTCCCTTCCCTACCACCCTGGGTGACGGGACGACGCTTGCTCCAGCCAACCAATCAGTACTCACGTCGAACAAGACTCCGTCGTTGCCCAGGTCCGCCTCGCCGACGACGCCGACGCGGAGGTGCCTCCAGTACCCGTCCAGAATCTCCACGAAGAACCTCATGAACGCCTCCGAGATCATCACGTTACGGGTTTTCGTGTCTTCCTGCTTATCCTGAAAACATGCGAGGTTGTTTCAAGCCGATCATGAGACGTGAGGTCGGCCGTGCTTGTGATTTATGAATATCATATAGACATAGATTGAATGGCAAATATCTTTAAAAATATTGGCTTTAAGAATCGTGCGCTTCGCTTTGAAGGGTGGGGCAGCCGTTGTAACTATACTGAGATCTTAAAACTTATATCTCAAGGTGGGTGGCGCATTTACGTTGGTGATGTCTATGGGCTCCAGTAACCACTTAACACCAGGTGGGCTGTGAGCTCGTCCACCCATCTAAGTCAATAAAAAACAATTTTTGGAGGTCCATGGTGGTGCCTTCTACAGCAGGTGGTGGACGAGCTGATCGAACCATGACACAGTGATCAGGAGACAAAGATATAATTTTTCGTCTGTTTTGTCTATTTGGAACGGGCAAAGGAATCATCAGTCAAACAGCCAATAAAGATAATATTTTATTGTTTTTCTTTGGAATAATTTTTAAATTACAAAACTAGTAATACCTTGTTTTTTGTGGATTCCATCTGTAAGGAAGTTTTCAGGGTCTTGTAGCTCGACGTAGGCAGGATCGTGGACTCGTCGCCCTGGTAGAACCTCAATTTGGACGGATGCGTCAGGTCTATCAGCATACCCTGGAATCAGCATTGCACTTGAGTGAGATTCGCTCGATTCAAATTTAACAAAGCCAATTTTATGCGCGTCAGACAGAGAGCGCTATATAAGCTATGACGTCAAAACTTACGTTTATAGGAACACTCCTTTTGCAGGAATGAGACAGAGCATGGCTTCAATATTGCTGCCACATTATCTTCCGCCACTGGAGGGGGAAGTTAATGGTATTGGAGCTCATTCATTCTTTCTGGTGATAGGACCTCTTGTGAGTCCGCGCGGGTAGGTACCACCGCCCTGCCTATTCCTGCCGTGAAGCAGTAGAACTCATATCTCAAGGAGGGTGGCGGCATTTACGTTGTTGATGTCTATGTGCTCCCTTAACCACTTAACACCAGGTGGGCTTTGAGCTCGTCCAACCACCTAAGCATCTACACGGACCACTCACCTTCGCGTAAGCCCATAGAGTTCCCCAAAAAGAAAAACAGCGTACCTCTTCGAAACCAACGCCGCTGGTATCCAAGTCCTGGGTCTTCAGCATCCCGGCCAGCATCGGCAGCGGGGCGTCCATGGCCTCGTGCTGGATCTCCCCTGGGACCGTCGATATCAGGGGCTGCTGCCAAACCATCGGGTACAGAGACAGCTGCAGGGCCTCCAGACAGCTTGAGATGTCGCTGCGCAACGAAGGTACTGGTTACTCGAGGCAACAACTAAAAAACCTAATCTCAGGCCCTTTGTAAGCGAGACGGGTACACGTACCTTCCTATGCTGATAGCCTTTAGAGGCTATATCAGCTTCTAATTGACGTGTAGGTGAGCTCACGGGGCTCAAACCTGACGACGTTGCTAACACGAACCCTAGCGAGAGCAGTGCTACGCGGAATCTAAGACCGGACCGGAAATGCGACCCACTGAGAAGATCCGGCGAGAAACTCGGTGGGCTGTGTCTGTGGGTTAATTTACTCTGCGAACCATTCGTCGCAAGCGACGACTTCGGCGAGGACGGTGGCCGGTGCTTGTGATACCTAAAAGCACCGTTAACGGATCGGGAGGGTCCGTAATGACGTTTTTAGGGGATATCGACTGTTTACCATTCGGTCCACGGGATCGGGTATGTAATTCCCAGCGGCCACGACAAGAGGGTTCTCATGTCGTGCCGCCTTCTCAAAGTGGCACAGTCATAAAGAATCTCTAATGCAGCCTTTCCCAAAGTGGGCGATAACGCCCCCTTGTGGGCGCTGCAGACCTAAAGGGGGGCGGTAAGAGACCCAGAAAAAATGGGGTGTTGTGTAGAGGCTTGGGAGGTGATTTGTAATTTCATCTAGGAGGATTCTTAGACACCGACTGAGCTCTCGCTATAGTGGTTTTTAAGTAGTTAAAAAAATGGGCGCGCTAAAAAATAAATAATTCTCAAAGTGGGCAGTAGACAAAATAAGTTTGGGAGCCCCTGCTCTAATTGAACCAAAAAGACTCAATAAAATTGAGCAGTTCTAAGTTCATCGTTTAATCTGCCCTCAAATTACATTACGATTATTTTTCAGCAGGCGAGTATACGGCTCATCTGATGGTAAGTGGTTACCGTCGCCTGTGCACGTCAGCAATGACAGGGGCAGAGCCAAGCCGCTGCCCACTGTTGTATTTTGGTCGGTCTTTAGAAACACTTTACTTCATATTAAAGAGAAGTCGGTGTTTTTGATTTTATACAGTTCTCAGAGACGCGTAGAGACGGTCATTACCTCAGTTTATCCCCGACTATGATGACCTTTCGTTCCAGGAGCAGGGAGCCGAACACCTTGATCGCCAGCCCGGAGCCGAGCAGGTCCAGCATCTTGGAGAGGCAATCCTCATCCACCCGAGGCACTATCGGCCGCTTGATAACCTTAGAGCTGTAGTGTAATAATTGTTGGAATTTATAAATAAGCTCATGTCTTTTTTACTGCTTCTGGGGCAGCGAGCAGGGGCAGACACCAGGTCTCGTCCAGTCCGAGTGGAGGAGCTCGATATTTGAAGTCGTCGTGGCCTAAAGGATAAGACGTCCGGTGCATTCCTTGTTGCGATGCACCGGTGTTCGAATCCCGCAGGCGGGTACCAATTTTTGTAATGAAATACGTACTCAACAATTGTTCACGATTGACTTCCACGGTGAAGGAATAACATCGTGTAATAGAAATCAAACCCGCAAAAGTATAATTTACGTAATTACTGGTGGTGAGTCCGCGCGGGTAGGTACCACCACCCTGCCTATTTCCGCCGTGAAGCAGTAATGCGTTTCGGTTTGAAGGGTGGGGCAGCCGTTGTAACTGTACTTGAGACTTTAGAACTTATATCTCAAAGTGTATGGCGCATTTACGTTGTAGATGTCTATGGGCTCCAGTAACCACTTAACACCAGGTGAGCTGTGAGCTCGTCCACACATCTAAGCAATAAAAAAAAAGAACTAACATCAGCACCTGTGCGTTTAGTTCGAGTTTTTTTTTAACGTTTTCGATCGCGTAAAAGTTAACTCAAATTCGTATACAGTTCGAAAAGCGCCCCTAGCGGCAAACGCAGGCAAACGTTTCAATTCCATACTAATTTGAGTTAACTTTTACGCTATCGAAAACGTTAAAAAACTCGAACTAAGCACACTGAAGTTAGTATCACTCTACAGCAGTTCAGCGAAGACTTGCTATGATAAGACTCACCCCGGACTGCAGAGGTCCAGCAGGACTTCCTTCGGTCCGTTGTTGTTCTGCAAATCAGAGTACTCCGGCACATCATAGTCGTTGAACTTGGCACTGTCACTTGCACTGTTCACACTTGCACCGTTAGCACTTTCACATGTGAGTTCACTTTTGCACTGTCTGTAGTCCGGCACGGTCCTGGGCCTGTGCGGCACCGGGACGCCCTGGCCGGGCTCCGGGAAGTCCATCTCGAACAGCTTCTGCAGCACGAAGTTGATGTTCGTCTCGCAGCTGCCGTGGTGAGATTCGATTTCTTTGAGGACCTGTCGATAACCAAAGGTTAGTATTGTCATACGTCAGATCTTAGGCTAATAAAGGGCGGGACATATCGACATGATATCTCGAAGTTTGGTCTTCGGTGAGCACTTGACTGGACGCGTTAAGTTACTAGATCCTTCGATATTCGTTCGGCTATTCGACGATAGATGGCGTTACTCTTACAATATTAATACGTGAAGCAAAAACTTTTTACCCATTTTTACGAAAATAGTGCGGACGGAGGAGTATGAAATTTCCCACTCTTATAGAGAATATAGAGAAGGAGTGCAAAATACTATATTTTTTTAAATTATGCATAAAAAAGAACATTAAATCAATATAAAAAAAACATTACAAACACTACCAGGGTCCTGAAACTGCGATAATTTAAGAAAAAAAAAAATTCCAAAAAAAAATATGTTTATTGACATGCTTTTGTTTATTGTTTAGAGTCTGCGGTTAAATTGAGAATAGATTGAATATTGTTTGTCTTTAATATTATATGTCTATGGTGTAGTTACGGCGACATCTGTGATTATATTACAGAAGTATAATAGTCTTTGACAATAGAACCATAATAATGTTTAAGCATACATTTTCAATTAATTATAGTCGAATTTCGACTAAACATGAAGTTTATCTGTTTCATTCAGTCCTTGTTAACATTAAACTATTGTTTGTATAGGACTATTAAACCTACCTTATAATAAAACCCAGGTGCTCTGTATTTCCCGATCAGGCAATAGCACAGGGGGAGGCAGCTGGTTCCACCTTCGGGTAGAACTCTTCGGCAGTATCTGCAAACCACAAGCATTCTATATCGTGGGAGGAAAGGCTATTTGGTTTAATCATTGTAATTGTAAAGGTCCATTTTATTTGGTATCAACATCAACAATTGTGTAACTGTACTGAGACCTTAGAACTTATATCTCAAGGTGGGTGGCGCATTGACCTTGTAGATGTCTATGGGCTCCGGTAACCGCTTAACATCAGGTGGGCTGTAAGCTCGTCTACCCATCTAAGCAATAAAAAAAAAGTTCGATGTTTTTAATTAAACTTCAACTTAGAAAACAGTCAACAAGCAGATACAATTGTACAATAGGCGGTCTTATCGCTAAAAGCGATCTCTTCCAGACAACCGTTTAATTAACAGAAATTCTGTAAAAGATAAAGATACAGCAGGTATATTGCGGTGCACTATTAATAATACATTATTAGTAGGTAGGCAGCGTCTTGCCTCTGCCCCTGGCATTGCTGAAGTCCATGGGCGACGGTAACCACTCTCCATCAGGTGGGCCGTATGCTGGTCTGCCCACAAGGGCAATAAAAAAAAAAAAAAAAAAATACGTACAATAAATAAATATACGCCTAATAGAATGAAGAAAGCGCTAATAAGGAGCTTTTAATCTATATAATAAATCTTAATAAGCTAGGCTGCTTTGAGACATTAAGAAGTTCAAACTCACCCGTAAGATCTCTCGCCTCTCTCGTCGGTGAGCACTAATGAGTAGCACTGAGTATCCGTCGCGTTGGCCGACCACTCGCTCTTCGAATCAGTGCTCAATGTTTCTGGGAATATCAGGTTTTCGATATGCGGCGGCACTTGCACCTGGAATTAACGATTAACTGGTCACAGGGGTCCACGGACAGCATGGCCCGAATGTCGTCCAGACCTTGAGACGCGAGGTCATAGTCGGGTATATTGGAAGCTGTCAATACGACTTCTTGTAGCGGTAATCATCAGGACCCATATGGACTCACAAATGGAACACATCATCAGTAATTGCTTTTTGATGAACACATATCCAAGAGAGTATAATACTCAAGAGAATGCTATGAACCATTCTCCGGTAAATTCCCAAAGTGCTGTTTCCAACAGCCACAGTGAGATATACTGGTCATAGGACGTCTTGTGAGTCCGCACGGGTAGGTACCACCACCCCGCCTATTTCAGCTGTCAAGCAGTAATGCGTTTCGGTTTGAAGGGCACCCGTTGTAACTATACTGAGACCTTAGAACTCATATCTCAAGATTGATGGCGCATTTACGTTGTAAATGCCTATGGGTTTCGGTAACCGCTTAACACCAGGTGAGCACGTCCACCCACAAAAACAATAAAAAAATATGAGCCGGTCCTTATTATACGACATCACACAGTAGATAGTTCTATCGATTGGACAATTTCCTAAAGCGAAAACCCTGTAAATGCCAAATAAGCCACTGCAGCCACTGACCTGCTTCGGGAAGACGCTCTTCACGTACGCCTGGCCGGTCATGTAGTTCATGCCGACCAGGAGGCATAGATTAAACAGTCCCTTCTCCCTTGGCTCGAAAGGCAGCTCTATATCCAAGCACCCGGCCTTTTCATCAATACTCAACCCGTCGAGGTCTCCAGTCAACAGATTCCCGCAGGAGTCGGTGAGATTGCATTTCGAATCCAACGAATCCATTCTTAGTTTCGGTAGGTTCGTCTGCGACGCCCTGAAGCTCTTCCAGGATCTAAACGTCGAGTACTGGTTCTCGGGCGCGTCCGGTTTGTAGGAGCAGACTGACGTTTGGTGACGGTATTTCTGGGTTATCGGCTTCTTATCGAGATACGCTACCCGACTGGAGACCCTGCGGACGTAGTTCTTGCGTTTCTCTGTTAGGTTCCTGGTTATTTTGACAGATTCTGTAATAAATAGTTTGGTCTGGTCAAAGGACAAAGAGACGCTTTAACAGAAGTACGCGCAGGTGGATGGGCGTTTCACAAGATGCTACTGACGACCTGTTGGAGGACGCGGCATTCCACCAGCTTGGAACGACTCGGGTCTTTGTGACGAACCTTGGGGCAGACCTAATTCTAGGCGTGGACGTCTGTAGGTCAGTGATGGACGGCTCGAGAAATGCTTACTAGATACCACAGTTTTTTTTCCTTTAATATAATTTCCAATTTCAAGACTTGGATTTTGTTGATCAGTTCGTTTATTTTGGTTATTAGTGACGAGGGCGGCAGGATAGCCAGAGAAGCGGAAAAGGAGATACAACACAAACAAAGCGGCCGAGTGGGGCCACCTATCTTGAAACTTGAGGTCAAAGTTTTGGCCCTATTGTGTAATGGCTGCCCCTTACAAACTGGTGCCAAGCTTGCCACGTGGCAGTTAGGTAGGACGGTATCTACCGTGCGGATGCACATAAATCCTATTGAATCTACCAGTAAATATACTGCACTTTCTTTCGGGCATCCATTTTAAAATACCCTCAAAGCGGAGATTTTTTTTCATCTTAGATTAGTGAATGTCCTTACGACCTAACTGGTATTAAATTGTGACTGGACTTTAAATTTTAGTTCACGATGTTGTTCCTTCATAGCGGAACTCATACGTGAATTTGTGTACGTAACTATTTTAACAAAATCGGTACCTACCCGCGGGATTCGAACACCGGCCCAATTGCATCACTCGATACTAGTGCACCGGGCGTCTTATCTTTTAGGTCACGATGACTAACTACTAAGCAAGTTGCTAAGTCGATTTTATATTTCCACCACTTACATTAAGTGGCTCGTTAAAGACATATGTAAACTAATCAACTTGAACCGACCTTCGCTGGTACTGCCGTCGGAGTTCTCGGTTGGGAAGCACCCGGGTCTATTCTCGTCCATGTTGCAGGCCGCTGTCACCGTCTCGTATATTTCGTTCATGAGACGATTCAGCTACAAGACAAGAAAAGAAAGACATGAGAACACACTCTTACCTAATATTAAATGGAACTTGACTCTTTCCACTACGCCTTTTGATACAATCTCCGTCTTTCCCTGAAACTGAAGACCAGATGTCACCCATGGGCTTTCGTTTGCTACCTTTCGAAAGCCAGAGAAGCTCAATTATCAGCCCAGGAATTGATAAGAGCACAAAGAACTGTGAACCAATCACGCACGGTCGTCCGGTCCCAAAATAGAATTCCCTGTGTTATGGATACCAGAATTAAATAATATACATATATAGACAATAAACACCTAGCAAAAAGAGCAAACAAAACTGTTCGTCACACGAATGTTTGCCCGATGCGAGAATCGAACCCACGACTAACTACAGCACCACCGGATCAGTGATAATAATATTAATATCACTTTCTTATTATAGTGGAAATATGTTAATCATTTGCCAATATATATATTTTTTTATTGCTTAAATGGTTGGACGAGCTCACAGCCCACCTGGTGTTAAGTGGTTACTGGAGCCCATAGACATCTACAACGTAAATGCGCCACCCACCTTGAGATATAAGTTCTAAGGTCTCGAGTATAGTTACATACAACGGCTGCTCCACCCTTCAAACCGAAACGCATTACTGCTTCGCGGCAGAACTCGGCAGAGTGGTGGTACCTACCCGTGCGGACTCACAAGAGATCCTACCACCAGTAATTACGCAAATTATAATTTTGCGGGTTTCACTTTTATTACAAGATGTTATTCCTTCACCGTAGAAGTCAATCGTGAACATTTGTTAAGTACGTATTTCATTAGAAAAATTGGTACCCGCCTGGGATTCGAACACCGGTGCATCGCTCAACACGAATGCATCGGAAGTCTTATCCCTTAGGCCACGACGACTTCAAATCAATATCTGTTCCAAATCGTGAATTACAAAGGCTAGGTTCAGCCAGGTTCAATATATGTAAGCTAAAACAAGATTGATAGTATGTCTCGTCTAAACCTCTCGTGTATAGTGGGCAAGACAAAGATTTACAAAAAGAGACAAGAAAGCAGATGGAGGGTGGTTTCAAAAAAAATTACCATCATGCGTCAGTCTTGCATAACATCACCCACAATCCCAAATTGAAAAGTATTCGCCATTGCTATTATTATGTGTTTGACAATTCTGAACTTTATAGTACATTACCTGAAGGCCCGATGCAGAATGCCAGCATCATTTTGAATGGCTTTCATTGAATCAGTAACCAGTTTATAAAAAGAGACGTTAAAAACTGCACTAACACAAAAAAAAAACTATTCGATTTCGGAATCACAAAACATTTTATTTAAAAAAATTCAATTCAAAAATAAACCGTTGCAACTCAATTACGAATTTCGAAATAAAAACACTTACGTAAATCACATTCTTATTTTAAACGTTTCGTTTAAGCAAATTTCGAAAATCGAATTCAAAATCTCAACCAATCACGAATGTACAACTAAATGTGTTTTAATTTTTTTTATTTAAACACCGAACCCGAAAGCCGACATCGCTACATGTGTAGTAGATGCAGAGTGATCTAATTCGTGTGTATGTGTGTGTGATTGTGAGACATTAAGTTTTCTCAGTACGATAACGAGAATGCTTTAAACGACCCCCAACGATACGGCGTTATGCAACATATAGCCAGTTTGTTTACATTCGATAATAATATAATATTGGCTTTATCGCCTAGACTAAGTCGAATTTTACGTAGAGGATATTATAGCCGCACGTCGATTACTGGCATGGCGACTCATGCCGTGGCGATTCGCCGAGCTATATCTATGCTAATATATAAATCTACAGTGGTTTTTACGGATGTTCCGTTATAACTACTGAACCAGGCATCCGATTGACTTGAAACTTGGTATCCATGTAGAAAATACACGTACTTAATGGATAGGCTAATATTTATATGAGTGTTGGACTCCCTATACCAGTTGCGGGGGCGTTAATGATGAGAATCTTTGTGGGGGTGAGAAATAATAATGTTAATTTTAAATGCCCAGCGAAGTGGACAGGTACAGCTAGTGATAGTATATACATATGTATATAGTCTTCATGTAGTAGTTTGCAACAAGCGACTTCTTATCTATACGAATAAATAAAATTGGAGTGTCTGTTTGTAATAATAAAATAACCACTTTTTACTAAATGCGTAAGTATATATACACAGTACATATACCTAAATAACATTTTTCTTAAATTTTGTCTGTCTGTTTGTTCCGGCTAATCTCTGAAACGGCTGGACTGATTTTTACGGGGCTTTCACTGATAGGCAGCTGATGATATAATGAGTAACTAAGGCTACTTTTTTTAGACTAGCTTCGCCCCGCCGCATCACCCGAGCTACGACAATAACCGCGGTTAATATAGCATGACTCAGCTAGTTATTAATAATATTTTCCATAATGCCACATGAATTTCCTGTCGTAAACTATCATTTTATGCATCCATACTTGTACAAAATAATATCAATATTTCACATCTCTCACAAAATAATTAAAAAAAAATATTTTCAATGATTCTTATCCACCTGATGGTTGTCTGGAATAAATCGCTCTTAGCGATAAGACCGCCAATTGTTTTTTCTTGTACTTAATATTTCCCATTGTTTTTGTCTGGAATAAATCGCTCTTAGCGATAAGACCGCCAATTGTTTTTTTTTGTACTTAATATTTCCCATTGTTAATTTTTTTGGTGTACAATACAGAATACTCTCTCTCTCTCTCTCTTTTATCCAACACCAGCTTTGCCCGTGACTTCGTTCGTTCGTATTCAAACCACCGTTAGGAAATACAATTTCATATTAAATTAGCGGACCCGATAGAGGTTATCCTTTACACATGTCTTAAATCAGAAAATTTCAAACTTTTAAAACAAAATATTAACTAATTTTATTTTATAATGGACCTAATTGCGAATGTAAGCCATTATCGAAACCAAACATACACAATCGGCTACCACTAATAACCGGATGGACCGTGAACTCGTCCAACCAACTAGGCATTAAAAAAAAATGTCACCACAAACATTACGAATGAACAATATTTTTATGTTTCATATTTTAATTGGATCATTGTGGTCGAAAGCCGTCCAAACTATATAAACAAATGAGGCTAGGTCATTACAAGAATTTAATTGTGACGTGCTGACACGATAGCGATTTACTGCTAGTGTTGTGCTACTCTTTGATATCGATTAATGTGTGCTATGAATAAGTAAAGTTTCAGCGTCTGATTCTAATAGGGGCGATTTCTCTTGGCGCGTTTTAGCTTCCACGTGGCTACCCATAAACACAGCCCACCATAGGCTACCCATCGTTTCTCGCTGGTTCAATTCAGTGGGTCGCGTTTCCGATCCGGTGGTGGATTCTGCGAAGAACTTTTTTTTTTTAATTGCCTTTGTAGGCAGACGAGCATACGGCCCACCTGATGGTGAGTGGTTACCGTCGCCCATGGACTTGAGCAATGCCAAGGGCAGAGCCAAGCCGCTGCCTACCGCAAAACTGCTCTTGCTAGGGTTAGGGTCAGCAACGTCGTCAAGTTAGAGTCCCGTGAGCTCACCTAATCGTTCGGTGAAGCTGGATAAGTATATGGTATGGTAGAAGCATAGCAGGAAAAATATAATTGAATAGTTTTGTTAATACGACACGCCAATGATGGAATTCTCGACTTTTGACGCCAACACACTACCTTTTTATTTATTGCGAAGCTGGGTGGACGAGCTCACGGCCCACCTGGTGTTAAGTGGTTACCAGAGTCTATAGACATCTACGACGTAAATGCCTCCACCCACCTTGAGGCATGAGTTGTAAGGTCTCACTTTTATAACACCTCTACAACGGCTGCCCCACCCTTCAAACCGAAACGCATTACTGCTTCACGGAAGAAATAGGCAGGGTGGCGATACCTACCCGTGCGGACTCACAATACGTCCTACCACCAGTAATTATTACTGGTCGAGCACTGAATATCTAATAGAATCTGGGAAAGACGAATCCGAAGATACTGAGAATTAATTTATTTTTAGAGAGACCTAAAAGACTAAAAGATACAAATAATAGAAGGGAAAGTTAGGTAATCTAGGCGCTTTAGTAACAGAAATCGACATAATCACTTCAGTGCGCCGCGTAGGGCACCGGTGACCTTCATGACAGTCAAAGAGTTGAGCGATCGGATTAGCGATGTTCGAACCTTTATCATTTTCAAACGAGGCTTGTGGAGAGTACTTAACGGTAGGAAGCGGCTTGGCTCTGCCCCTGGAATTGCTGAAGTCCATGGGCAACGGTAACCGCTCACCATCAGGTGGGCCGTACGCTCGTCTGCCTACAAGGGCAATAAAAAAAAACCAACTTTTTTATATTAGATCTATCGAACTATCGACAGCTTAGAGAGAGAGAGAGAATACACTTTATTGCACACCAACACAATTTACATTTAAAAAAAAAAAAAAACAGTCAAAAAGCACATATGTACAATAGGCGGTCTTATCGCTAAAAGCGATCTCTTCCAGACAACCTTTTATTTTACAGAAATTCTGTAAAATATAAGCTTACAGCTTAGCCCAACACTACGAGTACTCTAATTACTTCAAGACAATTAGTGAGATCAAATAAGCCGACGCTGGTTGTCTTGAAATCGGAGAGACAGAAACCGCATCCTTTGTTCTCTAGCCGATCAAAATTATTAAGATCAAATCTCAAAGAACAAAATCAATAAGCAAAATATTCAATTTTCACAATAGTTCAAAGATCCCGGGAAAATTACTAAATTTTATCGTAACCACATTATTATATAGATTGTCATATTCCCCTCAGAGGACGACATCATTTGAGGCAAAAAAAAACCATCAACATCATTGGTTCGTCTAATGACAATATATTCTGACAAAGCTATACACTACAATAAAAATTATCATAATTATAATTCACGTTTCGGATTTATCTGGAATATCTTTTTTTTCCTATCTAAG